CTTCATTTTTTTATTATTTAAAATTCGAATTCATCTTCATCATCATCTTTATCTTTGTTATGAGAAATAATGTTGCTTATCTAAGCCTCATCAAGTGGTTGTGATATGGATTATCAACGCATATCACAGCCAGCTTTGATGAGCTAGGATAATCAACGGTAAACAACGACAATTTCTAACAAAGAGCTACCAAACCAGATAAGTGACAAGTGAAACGTGGAAGTGAAGTGTGAAACATAATAGAAGTAAAGTGATTGGAATAAAAATGTTCGGAAAAATGCCGTCATATAAAACAATTAAATCAGTGAGGACAGAAAAGGGCTTATCGGAACGACTATATGGATATTTACAATAGGTGATACTAATAAGTTTTTAATTCGTAGCTCTGTCGGTACTTAGATTTGTTTTTAAATTCCTACAATTTTTTTAATTCGTATCTCTTATACTCCTTGGAACAATATTATCTTTTTTTTAAGAAATACATATAGCACTGAGGAAGGATATTCCCTGAATTTCGTTCTTAATTGTGATCTTTTGGGTGTACATTAAAAAATCCACATCTTTGTTTGGTCTTGAAAAAATGTTTCTACCCTGCTGAATGTCAATTGTCCGTCGTTCGGAACATCTTCTGGGACCCTTGCGTCGAGTTAAAAATATTGTCTTTAGGCTTCTTCTAATAACTCCTTGCAGAGCCTTTTTCGACATAACCGAGGCTGTTTGTTGTATGGTTCTCTCGGAATGAGTTTGTATAATGGTCACATTTCTTTGCATGTCTTCCTTTGCTCTGGTCGATGTTGCGTATGACATCTTGTCATCTAAGATAACCTCTCGATGATTCTGATTGCGTAGAGCCACCTGATTCCACTTTTTCCAGCTGTACTCGATCGTTTTTTTCAGTATTCTCAATGAAGAAGTTTCTCTCACAAAACTATCGGGATTTTATTATGATTTTTCGTTTTTATTATATTTCTGTCCGTTCAACAAACTGATTTCATTATATAATCACCTTTCGGCAAATAGTTTTTTTTTTGAGATATGCGGATGCTAATGAATCACCCATATGGCTTCATACAAACGGGAAGTACAGCTTGTAGCTTTCGACCGATTCGTAATTGGCCAACGACCAACGATTGGCCAACATGAAAACATATTTTTAAACAAATCCATACCTTTGGGTGATCTTGAAAAATATCTTCTAAAATTGAAAAAAAAATATTTTTAAAAAATCCAAGCCTTTGTGGGAGCCTAAAATATTCTATAAAAAATTTACATCTCTGTGAGATATTGAAAAAATCTACGCCTCTGTGGGACCTATATATTATTCTTTAAAAAAATCCATGCCTCTATACTTACTTAGCTGTCTTGTGACAGAACTTTCGTTTCATAAGCCGAGCTTGAAAAAGATTTCCAGGCGCGTCGGTCTTTTGCGCAGCTTTTCCAATTTGAAAGACCATATTCGGCAATGTTTTCTTCCACTTGATCTTTCCGTTTTAATCGCGGCTTCTGCGTGAACCAACAGCTGGTTCGCTTTTATATGCCTTTTGGGCTGGGGCATCTTCATCCATTCTCACAACATGACCTAGCCAACGTAGTCTGCAGCTCAATACGTCTAACAATGTCGATGTCCGAGAATAGGTGGTATAGCTCATGGTTCATTCGACGGCGATATTTACCGCCAACGCAGATCGGCCCATATATCTTTCGGAGAATTTTTCTCTCAAACACTTCAAGAGCAGATGATACAGCTTGCGCAAGTACCCATGCTTCAGGTCCATATAACAGCGCGGGTAGTATCAGCGTCTTGTAGAGTGTGAGTTTGGTCTGGCGGGAGGTGGCCTTGCTTTTGAGTTGTTTGCTCAGACCATAGTAGCATCTGTTGGCCATCACTATCCTTCTCCGAATTTCAAAATTATTTGTTTATGGCGGTACTAAAATCTTTGACTACCTCGAAGCTGTAGTTTTCAAGTTCCACAGTTGGGCCGAGTCTACTGGACGTCTTGCGCGTTGATACCATTAGCTTGGTCTTCTCGCCGTTTACAGCCAGACCCACTTTGGCAGACTCCTCAATTTGTTCAAAGGTGGCTGTTATCGTTCTCAATGTTCGACCCATTATGTCGATGTCATCGGCGTAGGCGAGTATAACATGTGTTGTTTGGTGTACAGTGTCATTTTTGTTCACCTTTGCCTCTCGTATGACCAGCAGGATGTTAAAAAGGTCACACAACAAACTATTAAAGGGCTCCCAGAGGTCCTTTTCCGACTTTAACTGCTGATATTGTGCTAGTTAAAGTTATCCTGCATAGCCGAATTAATTTTGCAGGAATGACTGCTGATATTGGGCCAGTTAAAATTATCCTGCATAGCCGAATTAATTTTGCAGGAATGTCAAACGTAGACATGGCTTTATACACCTCTGAACGGTTATGGCTGTCGAATGCGGCATTATAGTCGACGAATAGGTGGAATGTGTCGATGTGTTTTTCGTGGACTTTTTCCAGGATTTGGCGCAACGCATTGATATGGTCATATAATGTCATTGACCATTGGCTGTCTGTATCTGTCACCAGGTTTCCTTCTTTATCTCTACAGGAGGATGTACATGCACCAAAGCCTTCGGTTTGGTGTTTTACCCGTTGGTAGACTTTTTCGGACTTCATTCTGACTCCTGTACATCTCGATTTGCTCACGTTTTTCTTGCTCTTTCTTCTTTTTTCTGAAAATACGTTTCTCCTCTCTCCTTTTCGGCCGATAGTTTTCCATCGCATTACGTTGTTGCTACTGTCCGCAGGGTTGCCCTATACGCTGCGTTTTTCATATCAGTAGCATTACGACACTCCTGATCGGATTTCTTGATGATGGTCTTTGGTACCCAAGTGTTGCTTTTGCTTCAGTTTGTAGGGAGTGGGCAATTCTCTGACATTGTGCTTCTATATTATTATCGGGACAAGGGGTGCTTTCGTCAAGCAGTTGGGTAAGTTCAGCGGAGTAGGCTTCTGCTATCTGTTGTGTTTGCCGCTTTTCGACGTCGAGTTTCCGTGTTACATTAGATCGCACCTTTGCTGCTACATTAAGACGGGTGCGTCCGAATCGATATTCGCTCTTCGGATCGACCGGACTTCTAAAACACTGGATGACTGCCTTCCGCCTATCACAGCATGATTAATTTGATTTCTCGTTGTTCGATCGGGATAAATCCAAGTGGTCTTGTGTATAACGAGATGCTTGAATCTGGTGCTGCTAACCATTATGTTTTTTGCTGCCTCGAAGTTAATCAACCTCATGTCGTTGCCTAATGTTTCTTCATGGAGACTTAATTTTTCGACGATGGGGCCAATGATATTTTCCCTTCCGATTTTTGCATTAAAATCTCCTTGCAGAATTTTAATGTCATGGCCAGGGCAACGATCATATGCTGTTTCTAGGCGCTCGTAAAATATGTCTTTGGTCTGTTCATCTTTATCTTCGGTCGGAGCATGGGCGCAAATGAGACTGATGTAGAAGAACTTCGCTTTTATATGGATTATAGCAATTCGCTCATCTACTGGAGTGAACCTGAAGACGAGGTCTTTTATTCTCCTGTTAAAATCCGCAGCCAAATTCATGTCTCTTTTCATGACAGCTAATAATACAAAGCGAACACTGTGCCAGTTCTGTACAACGGGCACACATTCCAAGTGCAGATTCGCAGATCGTGACCCTTTATACGATTGCGGTGGTCGTCAACGTTAGGTCGGTTTGGTTTTCTTTTTCTTTGCTTTTTCATAGTAGGTTGGGTTTTCCGAGAGTGGTTTTTATGGGTGAACTCGCGGCACCTATTAGCTCTCTATTTCATCGGGTGATGAGAATAGCTCCCCAGGTGGCACCGCGGGGAGGTCAGTGTCCACAATTGAGATGAAAGAGGGACCAAGATAAGCCTGGACTTCGCCATGTTAAAGCCAATCAGAGCCGTTGCTTGGTATCTATCACCCCTACGCCACCCTCTTTGTGAACCCAAAAAATATTCTTTAAAAAATCCATGGGTCTTTGGAAGCCCAAAAATATTCTTCAAAAAAACTACGCATCCCTAAACAATGTTATTTAAAAAATCCTTGCCTCTATGGAAGCCCAAAAAATATTTTTTAAAAAAATCCACGCCTCTATAGGAGCCCTTAAATTGTTCTTTAACAAAATTTAACTTTTTATTATAATTTTTTATTACCTATTTTTTTATATATTCTCTTCCCTTATAGCTCTTTCCCAACCAACCAAATATTGTGGGGGAATTTTTGAATATATTAATAATTATTTTTTGTTTTTTCCCTCCCCCCACAACAGGCAATCATCTCGAAGTCCACGAAAAAAGGAGAAGGAATGCTTACAACTGTGACGACTTGCTAAATCTCTTGGCCCGATATTTACAGGAATATTACATCTCGAGACTCTCTAGTTATTAGTTAAAGAAGTGATAAGAGATTACAATTTGTAATAAAACTTTCCAAATAAGAATTATTAAAAAAATTAATAATTTTTAAAAATTAATTTTATTGTAATTTTTTCGTTTTTTTTAAGAAAAAATGTGATAAATATTTTTTGTAATATATTTTAAAATAATTGTGTTGAATTTAAATTTGTATTAAAAATTTAAAAAATATTAAAAACTTTAAATAGTTTACACCAATTCTCTCACCCCTCCAAATACACACACTCACACGTTCTCAAGTAAATATACCAAATAATTGAAATAATTTATTTAAAAAAAAAGAAAAAAATAATTATTAAATATTTATTTAAAAATCAATAAGAAATAATTATTTAATATTTTTTATTATTTATTGCATATTTATTAATATTTTTTTTTTAATATTAAAAAAATAGAAAAAACCAAATAGTATAACAAAAAATAAATTGTTATCATCCAGCAGGACTAGTATATTTACATTTCTCAAGTATTTTTTAAAATCCATTCCATTTTTTATATTTCACTTTTTTTACTTTCCAAAACAAAAACGAAGATTTTCACCATGACGAACATAATTTTTAACAAATCATTCATATTTCTCTGCTCTCTAATAACGGTAACCATATTTAACATGGCCCCCCTGACCTTGGCTTGTTCTAGTCGTTCATTGCCCAAGCCAAGGCCATCATCGATAGCTGCACCCACATCCACAAAGATACCGATTACCACAACCTTACATACCACATCGACAACGACAAGGGAGACTACCACTACAACGACAACAACAACGACCACCACCACTACTACGCCCAGACCCAACATCACTTTCCCAACCTTCAAATGTCCCGCCACCTATGATGCCTGGTATTGTTTGAATGAGGCCACCTGCTTTACCGTCAAAATTGGTGATTCCATTATGTATAATTGTGAATGTGCTATTGGGTTTATGGGTCCACGCTGTGAATACAAAGAATTGGATGGTTCATATCAACCCAAAAGGCCACGACCAATTTTGGAGAAGGCCAGCATTGCCAGTGGTGCCACATGTATCCTCCTATTTTTGTTATTTGTCTGTTTGACTTTGTATTTGCGTTACGATCAGAAATCCACCAAAATTCTTATGGAAAATGAAGATTATCATTACAGCACATCTTCTCCTTATGTTCCGCAATCAATGAATTCCTATAATAATTGTCGTTTTTGTTCGGATAAATATTGCTGTTCGTCGTCCTCCTCCTCCTCCACCATCAATGATTCGAAATTTCTATTGGCAAATGATAAACATTCAAAGGGTAGCAGCTCGTCCTCTTGGTTTAGACAACACATTGAGGCCTTTCCCATGGGTCTAACCATCAAGCGTTTTAATAAAATTTAAAATTTTGAAAATTAAAAAAATTGAATATTTGTTGAGAATCTCAGAAAAAAAATGTATTTAAGAACAGCTGCCGCAGTAGTATTTGAATGTTATATTTGATTTTTGAATATTTGCTAATCACAGAAAAACGCATCGGAATTAACACCATCACACTCACATAACCTCAATCCTAAACCATCATCTTGGTAAAATATATATTTAGAGTTTAGGTATTTCTTTTTAGAAACTTGTCTTCTATAGAAGCGGGAGGACCTTTGGTATACTGTATATCTCATATAACACAAGTTTCTGTAGGAGCCTCTAAGGGGTCCCTTAAAAAATATCCTTTAGGAGCCCGAAAATAATTTTGAATAAAATCAATTTAAATATAAAAATATTCATTAGAAAAAAACGAATCACACTCACATAACCTCTGTAAAATTGATTTTTAGAGTTTTGGTAGAGAGAGTTTATAGAAGATGGAAGACCTTTTGGTATACTGTAGAAGAAGTGGACCTCCATATTATATTGAAGAAGCGGCCACCTCTTATAACACATGCTTCTCTAGAAGCCTCTTAAGGGTCCCTAAAAATATTGATTTTTGAAATAATCTACGCTAAAATCAACCCAAAAATATAAAAAATATTTATTAAACAATCCACAACTCTATATGAGCCCTAAAAATATTCTTTAAAAAATTCTTGCTTCCTTAGAAGTCTGAAAAAATGATCATTAAAAAATCCTTGCTTCCTTAGAAGTCTGAAAAAATTGTATTTAAAAAATCCACGCTTCTATAGGTGTCTGGAAATTTTTGTCTTTAAAAAATCCACGCTTCTATAGGTGTCTGGAAATTTTTGTCTTTAAAAATCCACGCTTCTATAGAGGTCCGAAAACATTTTTCTTTAAAAAATCCAAGACTCTATAGAGGCCCGAAGAAAAATATTCTTTAATTATTCAAAGTCTCAAGGTGCTCAAAACACAAAATATTCTTTAAAACTATGAAGCCTTAGAGGAGCCCAAAAAAAGTTCAAAATATAAACGCCTATGTCACCCCCGACAAATATTCTTTAAGAAAGCTACGCATCTATAAGACCTCAAAACAAAAAGAGCACGAAAAAATATTCTTTAAAAATCCACACTTCTATAGAGGGCAAAAAAAAAACATTCTTTAAAAAATCCCCTGGGCACTTTGGTTGGACTTTGAAAAATGTATTTTTAAATCATTCGCTCTTCGGATGGACTTTGAAAAAATTTTCTTTATACAATTTACGCTTCTGTGGAACCTAATTTTTTAGCCTACCTATTGGAGCTCGAAAAAATATGATATGAAAATTCGCCATTCTGCTTCATTAAGGGTTCGTAAAAAATCTATGCTTCTAAGGAGCCTGAATAATTATATAAGAAATTCGATTTCTTCAGTATGGAACCTTTCCAAAAGGTTCGTTCTTTGCATATAGATTCTTTTTTTGTTTTTTTCTCCCCTCATATTTTTAGTTCTTGACTCAGGTGGTGTATTGCGGTTTTAAGTATTTCCCAATTTCAAAAGGAATGGGAAATTGTAGTGGTTTTTCCCTCACTTTTACCTCTCGGCTGAGGTGGTGTAACCATGTTTTTTTTTAATACAGTCGAAATATATCCTTAATCGAAGGTTTTCAAAAGTGAAGAAGAAGAAAATTATGCGTTTTATATGAAATCGATAATAGTAAAAAATAATTTGCGAAATTGATCGCTATAAGCGACCGTTGTTACAAGCAATTTTGACTGGTATTAAAAACATTTTTTTTTTTGGGGACAGGCTGTGAAAATTACATTTTTGTTGTTGAGACCTCGTATTGTTCTCTTGACTCCCCGTATTATATGTCTTCTTGCCTCCTAGGTATCACTTCGGCACATTTGAAACATTTTTATTATCATCACAAACTTTTTTTACATTACTTAACGGACGATTTTTTATAATGTATTTTATATTTTTTTATAATTCATTTTTGAAACATTTTTCTATTTTAATATTTACAATATTATTTTTATTTTAAATTTAAAAACACCTTTTTATTATTTTAATTTTAAAAATAGTTTTTTTTATTATTTTAATTTTGACAATCTTTTCTATATATATTTTATTATTTATAATTATGTAATTTATTATTCTATGATTAGCAAATATCTTAAGCCAAATAATTCAATAAGAACGTGATAATTATTATTACAATTTATTTATTATAATATCGAAATATATATTTATATATGTGTAAATTCCATATAGTTAGAGAAGAGCCAGTTTTTTTTTTGTAATTTTCTTAAATAAATAATATTGTGAGGATAAAGGGAAATCATTCCCAAAAATACACAAAAAAATCCGTCACACATGGCACCCTTAAAAATATTCTTTAAAAATCTAAGATTAAAGTGGTCCCAAAACACTTGAAAATATTCTTGAAAAGTTAAAAAGGCTACCAAACTTTGGAAAATATCAATGAAAAATCTACGCCCATGAAGCTAATTTGGGATTTAAAAACTTCTTTAAGAATACACTCCTAAAAACTCGTAAGACACCCCTAAATAGCTTCAAGGGCACCTGAAAATATTCCTTAAAAAATCCTCGCCTAAATAGCTTCAAGGGAACCCAGAAATATTCAACAAAAATCCATGCCTAAATAAGTCGTAAGTCACCTGAAAATATTCTTTAAACATTCACGCCTAGTTGACACCCAAGAAATCTAGAAATATTCTTTAAAAATTCACGCCTAATTGGCTTCAAAGGTACCTAAAAAATATCTTTAAAAATTCACATCTAATTGGCTTCAGAGGCACCTAAACAAATGTCTTTAAAAATCCCCGCCTAATTGGCTTCCAAAACACCTCGAAATTTTCTTTCAAAATCCACGCCTATTGACCGCCCAAAACAACAGAAAACATAGAATCAATGATTCAGGGTAGACCCTCATATAACTGTAATTCCCATTATTTGTATTTTGGCTAGTTTGTACACATTTTTCAACCCAGTTTGGCTCTAATTCAATATGTTGGGTTATCAATGGATGTCGAATTATCCTGCCGAAAATCGATCAATATCGGTCTACTTTTTAGTACCCATATATATGTACCCCTGATTTTCGGTATTTTGGGTAGTTCGAGCATATTTTGGGTTTTCATTGGGTGACCAATGTTTATACCAAGAATTATCAATATAGGTCCACCTTTTTTGGGTTGCCCTCATATAACGGAATACCAATATTAGGTGATTTGCGCAGGTTTTTCAAACGAATTGGATGAAATTCGGAATTTTAGATTCTTATTTTCCAAATCATACCAAAAATTAATTATATTGGTTCGCTTTTTAAGGTGTCCTCCATATAATGGTACCCCAAAATTTTCGTTATTTTGTGAAATTTTTGTCAATTTTTCAACCGAATTGGCTCTAATTTGATATTTTGACCTCTCATTGGGTGGCAAATCTTCATACCAAAAATTAATTATATTGGTTCGCAATATTGGGCCAACTGAGGCGTGGATTTATTAAAGAATAATTTTCAAGGGCCAACTGAGGCGTGGATTTAATAAAGAATATTTTTCAAGGGCCAACTGAGGCGTGGATTTAATAAAGAATGATTTTTCAAGGGCCAATGAGGCGTAGATTTAATAAAGAAGTCCCCACATATTTTTCAAGGGCCATCCGGGGGTGGATTTAATATTTTGGATTTTTATTCAAGGGCCATCTCGTGGAATCATCAATTTTTCAGCCAAAAATGTAAACAAACAAATTATCAATTTATTTTAAAAATTTGTTGTTGAAAAGGTCAACATTTTGACGAAAAATAAACAATACAAATTATATTTATTTTAAAAATGAAATATTTTCGAATCCTCAAAATAAAATTTGAGAAACATGAATGAAAATCTATTAAATTTATATTTCTATCGCTTCCACACCTTTCCTGTAATTGAGCTTATATGTGAAAATGAAAATGCAGGGAATTGCGAGTTATTCCATGAAGAAAGATGTGCTTCCTCAAACTTTCCCAGCAGGCAGATTGAGAAAATTGAATACGGGAGCACATTTAATAAAGAACTATTTCAAATTTTATGCGTTCCCAATTTTCCTGTTGGGTGATTTTTCAAAACATAATTTGTCAATTTCAGATTGACACTAGTATTACGTTGGAATCAAATCAGCTGGGGTTTGCTGTTACCTTTTATAATTGTACCAGTGAATTTTGATGGCACCTTTCCTGTAATTGAGCTTATATGTGTAACACATATGAAAATGCAGGGAATTGCGAGTTATTCCATGAAGAAAGATGTGCTTCCTCAAACTTTCCCAGCAGGCAGATTGAGAAAATTGAATACGGGAGCACATTTAATAAAGAACAATTTCAAATTTTATGCGTTCCAAATTTTCCTGTTGGGTGATTTTTCAAAACATAATTTGTCAATTTCAGATTGACACTAGTATTACGTTGGAATCAAATCAGCTGGGGTTTGCTGTTACCTTTTATAATTGTACCATGGAATTTTATTGGCATTTTTTCTATAGAAATGACAATATTTTTGCATTACAAAGTGACCAGGACGTTCTTCACAGTATATTTTCAATGAAACTTTGTGTTTTAACATATTCATCCCTCCCTATTTTTTAGACCCTAGGCCAATTTTTTGGCATTACAAAATAACTGGGACCTTCTTCACAGAATATTTTCACTATTACTCCATGATTTTACATATTCATACCTCTTTTTTTTAAACCCTTGCCCAATTCATTCTTCCTTGAGAATGAAATGTATTTTGTTTTCTCTTGGCATCAACTTACCATGACATATAGCCCCCATATCTAAGTCCCGATTGATTTATTTTTGAAAATTTTCATTTTTCCCTTGAACCTATTTTTTCAAAGAAAATACAAAAAATACTGGCCTCTTCACCTCTCCTCAAGATAATACGATGGAATAGAAAAAAAAACAAGTAAACAATAGCACACTAATCAAAATAATAATAATAATTAAAATTAATAATAACTAAAAAAATAATAAATAAAATTATGCCTTTAAAGTGCTTTATTTTGAATAAATAACTCTTCAGAAAAAATAAGAAAATATTTTAACAGAGATAAAAAGTAAACAGAATCTCACACACGATTAATAATTACAAACTATTTATTATGACTGGCTAAAAAAATTATTGTATGTATAAATATTACTATTAAAAATATATTTTGTTTGAAAATTCTAAAGTTAATTTTCTTTAAAATTTTAAATACAGTGGCTCTCAAATTGGAAGAAGAGAATTTTTTTTCAAATTGTATTTTCAATATAACAAGGATTTAAAATAACTTATTTAGACAGATGGAATTCTAATTAGACCATCATATTTTTGAAATATTGTTGAAATTGGTACTGAATTCCTTAAGAAAATTATTCGTTTTTTTGTTCTTATAAACCTAAATTGTTATTTTGTCCACCTTCCTAAAAGCATTTTAATTGAGCACTGTATATAAAAAAAAATTATATTTTATTTGAAAAAAATTGTCTATTTTATTTCATAAATTTATTACGATTTTATATTTATATATAATTTTTTATTAAATTTTTATATATCACCTTATCTAATGCTATAATACACACACACAAACAAGTATTATTTATATTTGATTTAAAAAAAAGAAAAAAAAAAAATCTAGAAAAACAAATTTAAAAAATGCACTAAAAATGATAGAAAAAAGAAAATGCTATTACAAAATAATAAAACTAAATGTTATAAAGAACATTCAAAACTAATATAAAAAATGTTTTTATTTTCAATACGGAATGTGGGATTTAATAAATGGGATTCAATTAAAAAAAAAAACAACTTAAAAATATAATGGAATTAGAGCTCCTGCTCAAAAAAAACCCTACTCTACTTCTCGATAAAAATTTTTTTCACAGGATCAAGGAAAAGGATTTTAATGGCCTGGACTTTTTAAATTGATTTAGAAAAATCAAATTCAAACACTTCAAAATTCAATTTAAAAAATCCACGAAAAAGGACTTCAATGGAACCATGGCCAGGATATTCTAAGGCTATATTTAAATTGATTTTAGAAAAATCAAATTTAAACATTTCAAAATTCAATAAAAATATTTTTCCCTGCGACAAGAAGAGGGACTTCGGGCTGGAACAAAAAATTTGACTATTTGTGAGGTCAAATTATTTAAACAAATATTGAAATATTGAAAGCTGTTAACCTGCAAAATTATTTCCCGTAGTGAAGTTTCTCCCAGGAGGCACCCCATTATAATTACCTGCAATTAATCCACCCTAACAACAACTGCTACTCCTCCACAACTTCGTATACACCAAACACCATATCGGACCATAGATCGTAAGTAACCATATTGCTGCGATACTTATTTGTATTAACCATTTAAAATCGTTATAGGTGGCTGCATCTAAAGAATATTCTATGAAAATGTTTGTATCGAAGGCGGTGAACATGCTCAACATCATCGCCGTGTAGGTCAATAGACCCCAAACGCTATGCAAAGTTTTTGTTAACATTGGCTGCACTACCTTTTTCATTTCATGGGCATACAAAGCACTCAGGCCGCTGAGGAGGGAGAATAGCAGCAAAATGGATGCTATGAGACCTGGAAAAGAAAGGAGATTGCGGATTAGAAATAATTTATTAATAAGAAAATAGATTTAAGTTTTTTGGCGCCTAGAAATTTCCTTTAAAAATCCACGCCTAATTGGCTTCCAAAACATCTCGAAATTTTCTTTAAAAATCCACGCCTAATTGGCTTCCAAAACACCTAGAAATTTTCTTTAAAAATCCACGCCTAATTGGCTTCCAAAACATCTCGAAATTTTCTTTAAAAATCCACGGCCAATTGGCTTCCAAAACATCTCGAAATTTTCTTTAAAAATCCACGGACAATTGGCTTCCAAAACATCTCGAAATTTTCTTTAAAAATCCACGCCTAATTGGCTTCCAAAACATCTCGAAATTTTCTTTAAAAAACCACGCCTAATTGGCTTCCAAAACATCTCGAAATTTTATTTAAAAATCCACGCTTCCAAAACACCTGGAAATTTTCTTTAAAAATCCATGCCTAATTGCCTTCGTAGGCACGCCTAATTGACTTCCAAAACATCTCGAAATTTTATTTAAAAATACACGCCTAATTGGCTTCCAAAACATCTCGAAATTTTATTTAAAAATACACGCCTAATTGGCTTCCAAAACATCTCAAAATATTCTTTAAAAATCCACGCCTAATTGCCTCCATAGGCACCTCAAAATATTCTTTAAAAATCCACGCCTAATTGCCTCCCTAGGCACCTAAAAATATTCTTTAAAAATCCACGCTTAATTGCTTCCCTAGCCACCTCAAAATATTCTTTAAAAATCCACGTCTAACTGGTCTCCCAAACACCTCAAAATATTCATTAAAAATCCACGCCTAATTGCCTCCAAATATACCTGAAAATATTCTTTAAAAATCCACGCCTAATTGGCTCCGAAGGTAGAAGAAAATATTTCTTTAAAAACGCCTCCCTCCCCTTACTTACCCACAATCCCGTGGATGCTGTGAAAATGCGTATCCTCAATCCAAATTTTAATTGCCACACCAATTAAGCCTAAAACGGAACCGCATAACTGCAATATCCAATGGGTTTTAGTTTTCTGAGAACGATCACATAACTTTGTCCTGGCATTGGCACGATAATAGGCCATTAGACCTTCAGACATTAGGCAGACAAACTACAAAATAAATCCGAAGAATAAGAGGAGGATGACGAAGTCATTAATTAGAAATAATAGTGACATCATTCGCTTTCCCACTTACACCAATCGTACAAAACACAGCATGAAATGGTATTTCCTCAATCGACAGCCGTAGGCACATCCAACACACATAGAGGGTTACGAAGCCCATTAGCAGGCGATTCAGGGAGATCAATAGAAACTCCACCACTTGACATTTTGTTATTGGCACTTGACCACCGGTTCTGTTGGTTGGGGTTTTGATTTTCTCTAGCTTATTGATTACAATTTTACCCGTTTGACGCATTTTATTTTCGAATTTGCATTTGAAGCGAATATTCTTCGATGTTTCAAAATTCTTCTATTACTAATCACTTCTCACGGAAATGACAACATCAGAAGCTATTGCTACTGTGATTGGAAGTTTGTCATTTGTCAGCAGCTTCTTATCGATCAACTTCATTCGAAGAACGGAGGAGGAGATACGACAAAGGTGGTGGTGTAATCAAATGTGCATATCATATCAAGGGGGATACATACCGATATTGAACTGGAGGTGGGAGTTGCTCATCTTATGTTATCTTTGCGACCTGATTTAAATGTTCAAGATATTTATTTTCACTTGTCCCTCTCAATAGACGCCTGAAAGTATTCTTTAAAAATCCACGCCTAATTGGCTCCCAAGTTAGCTGAAAATATTTTTTAAAAATCCACGCCTAATTGGCTCCCAAGTTAGCTGAAAATATTCTTTAAAAATCCACGCCTAATTGGCTCCCAAGTTAGCTGAAAATATTCTTAAAAAATCCACGCCTAATTGGCTCCCAAGTTAGCTGAAAATATTCTTTAAAAATCCACGCCTAATTGGCTCCCAAGTTAGCTGAAAATATTCTTTAAAAATCCACGCCTAATTGGCTCCCAAGTTAGCTGAAAATATTCTTTAAAAATCCACGCCTAATTGGCTCCCAAGTTAGCTGAAAATATTCTTTAAAAATCCACGCCTAATTGGCTCCCAAGTTAGCTGAAAATATTCTTTAAAAATCCACGCCTAATTGGCTCCCAAGTTAGCTGAAAATATTCTTAAAAATAAAAATCCACGCCTAATTGGCTCCCAAGTTAGCTGAAAATATTCTTTAAAAATCCACGCCTAATTGGCTCCCAAGTTAGCTGAAAATATTCTTTAAAAATCCACGCCTAATTGGCTCCCAAGTTAGCTGAAAATATTCTTTAAAAATCCACGCCTAATTGGCTCCCAAGTTAGCTGAAAATATTCTTTAAAAAAAATCCAAGTTAGCTGAAAATATTCTTTAAAAATCCACGCCTAATTGGCTCCCAAGTTAGCTGAAAATATTCTTTAAAAATCCACGCCTAATTGGCTCCCAAGTTAGCTGAAAATATTCTTTAAAAATCCACGCCTAATTGGCTTCCAAAAGACCTCAAAATACTCTTTAAAAATCCACGCCTAATTGGCCCCCCAAGTTAGCTAAAAATATTCCTTAAAAAATCCACGCCTAATTGGTTCCCAAGTTAGCTGAAAATATTCTATAAAAAATCCACGCCTAATTGGTTCCCAAGTTAGCTGAAAATATTCTATAAAAATCCACGCATATTTATTGGCTCCCAGTGCGCCAAAAAATATGCTTCAAAGATTCTCGCCCATTGTGGCGTATGAATGTTGACAACACTTATACGCCTTGAACTCTTTTTTTATTTTGAATCAGACTTTATTATTATATAATATATTTTTATAAAGTATAATTTTTATATATAATCTATAAATAAAAATCACAATAAATAATATATAAAAAAATAATTATTTATCTATAATGTTTATAAATGCTGCGCATTTTATGCATCAGCGATTTCAATGGACCCCATGAGGACAGTAAGAGTGTCAGCAAAGTCAACACCTTCATTAAGATGGTGAAGTCATGGGATGGTGTCTTACGTGAAAAGAATCCCGTTGTATAGCCATAATATTGGGCCGATAAGGCCACAGCAAATGTCACCAGACCCAATAGATTATGGAAGCTTTTGTTCAACAGTGGACTAAGGCACCGTTTCAAACGCATCGAATAGAGAGCCGAGAGACCGGAGATTAAACTGATCCAGCATAAAATGAAGGCAGCAAAACCTGCAAATATTTGAAGGGAGGTTAAAGATTTTTATTTTTCAATTATGGGTTACACTTGGACTTACCCAATTTCCCATGTGTAGAGTGCAGTGAGAAACCTTTTTGTAAAATTTTAATAATAACCCCAGCAATGCCACAGGCACCACCCAATGCCTGTAGTACCCAATGTATGGTGGTCTTGGTGGTGCGACGATAATTATATGTCAAGACATTGTGATTGTAGAGGCACATGATACCTTCAGCCATAAGAAATGAGAACTGCAAAGAGAAGGAAAACCATACAAATTAATATAACTGGGTCTTCGATGCGAATAAGTGGTGTCAACACGTATACGCCCATGTGAGGATTTCTGAAAAACAGATTATTAGAGAATATTTCGAGGTGCTTTGGAAGCCAATTAGGCGTGGATTTTTAAAGAATATTTTGAGGTTCCTAGGGAGCCAATTAGTCGTGGATTTTTAAAGAATATTTTGAGGTGCCTAGGGAGGAAATTAGGCGTAGTTTTTTAAAGAATATTTTGAGGTTCCTAGGGAGCCAATTAAGCGTGGATTTTTAAAGAATATTTTGAGGTTCCTAGGGAGGCAATTAGGCGTGGTTTTTTAAAGAATATTTTGAGGTGGCTAGGGAGCCAATTAGGCGTGGATTTTTAAAGAATATTTTGAAGTTCCTAGGGAGCCAATTAGGCGTGGATTTTTAAAGAATATTTTGAGGTTCCTAGGGAGCCAATTAGGCGTGGATTTTTAAAGAATATTTTGAGGTGCCTAGGGAGGAAATTAGGCGTGGATTTTTAAAGAATATTTTCAGGTTCCTAGGGAGGCAATTAGGCGTGGATTTTTAAAGAATATTTTGAGGTGCCTAGGGAAGCAATTAGGCGTGGATTTTTAAAGAATATTCTGTGGTGCCTAGGGAGGCAATTAGGCGTGGATTTTTAAAGAATATTTTGAGGTTCCTAGGGAGCCAATTAGGCGTGGATTTTTAAAGAATATTTTGAGGTGCCTAGGGAGGAAATTAGGCGTGGATTTTTAAAGAATATTTTGAGGTTCCTAAGGAGGAAATTAGGCGTGGATTTTTAAAGAATATTTTGAGGTGCCTAGAGAGGCAATTAGGCGTGGATTTTTAAAGAATATTTTCAGGTGCCTAGAGAGGCAATTAGGCGTGGATTTTTAAAGAATATTTTCAGGTGCCTAGGGAGGCAATTAGGCGTGGATTTTTAAAGAATATTTTCATGTGCCTAGGGAGGCAATTAGGCGTGGATTTTGAAAGAACATTTTCAGGTGCCTAGGGAAGCAATTAGGCGTGGATTTTGTAAGAATATTTTCAGGTGCCTAGGGAGGCAATTAGGCGTGGATTTTGTAAGAATATTTTCAGGTGCCTAGGGAGGCAATTAGGCGTGGATTTTGTAAGAATATTTTGAGGATTTTTAAAATTTAACTGTTTTCTGTACTTACCCCTATTGTTACGAGCCATGCATGCAAGGCTGTTCCCGCCAATCCATTACGCAAACACATCCACGACATCCATATCGTCACAAAGCCAATACAAATCTGATTCAAAACATTGAGAAAATAATCGATGCGTTGATGAATTTGACGCATTTCACTGTTCGGCATGGTGTCAATGGACATTTTACCCAAACGCGATGTCAACGAGGAACGGGTATATAAATTTGTAGTCGAGGTGTATGGCAAACTTTGATAGCCAATTGCGGTGGTTGTTGTTGTCGCTGAAGTTGTTGTACTCTCGTTATCCTCTTCTGCTCCTTCTCCTCCTGCGGTGGCTGTATCCACAGAATCGTTACTAATCGAAATTTTAAACGTTGTGCTGCCGTAGTCTGTTCGTATTGTACTGCTGGACGTGGTAGTGTTTCGGTTAGGCATTGTGTTTTATTTTTCGACGTTAGAATATTTGTTGTTGTTGGTGCTGTTGTTGTTGTGTTTTGTTTATAATTTATTTATATTTCGTAATTATTAATTGTTAATGTGTGTTTTACTTTAAATGTTGTTACTTGTTGCGTTCTGGAGTTGTTGTTGGTGGTGGTGCTCCACTTGCCGGCATTCTCTCTTATCTCGGAATGTGTCTATTTTCTTCTTTTGGGTGTTTGTCTTTGTGTTTTTGAATATTTCGTAAACCTTTTACTTTAGTTTCAACTACAGCAACAATAAAAAAAGCTCTGCAAATGAAAAGACAACAAAAACAACAACAACAATAAATAAAAAAAATGATAAGAAATCTATTTTGTTAAAATAAAAATTTGATTTGTTGTTCTCTCTATTAGATTTATAACAAAATGTCCGAATACCCTACACTACGTAGTGACGGATTTTCCAAACCCAAAGAAAGCTCTATAGGTTTGGATTTTTAAAGAATATTTTCAGCTACCTTCAAAGCCAATAAGGCGTGGATTTTTAAAGAATATTTTCAGGGGTCTTGGTAACCAATTAGGCGTGGATTTTTAAAGAATATTTTCAGGGGTCTTGGTAACCAATTAGGCGTGGATTTTTAAAGAATATTTCTAGGTGCTTTGGAAGCCAATAAGGCGTGGATTTTTAAAGAATATTTTCAGGGGCTTTGGAAGCCATTTAGGCGTGGATTTTTAAATAAAATTTTCAGGGGCTTTGGAAGCCATTTAGGCGTGGATTTTTAAAGAATATTTTCAGGGGTATTGGTAGCCAATAAGGCGTGGATTTTTAAAGAATATTTTCAGGGGTCTTGGTAACCAATTAGGCGTGGATTTTTAAAGAATATTTTCAGGGGTCTTGGTAACCAATTAGGCGTGGATTTTTAAAGAATATTTTCAGGGGTCTTGGTAACCAATTAGGCGTGGATTTTTAAAGAATATTTTCAGGGGTCTTGGTAACCAATTAGGCGTGGATTTTTAAAGAATATTTTCAGGGGTCTTGGTAACCAATTAGGCGTGGATTTTTAAAGAATATTTTCAGGGGTCTTGGTAACCAATTAGGCGTGGATTTTTAAAGAATATTTTCAGGGGTCTTGGTAACCAATTAGGCGTGGATTTTTAAAGAATATTTTCAGGGGTCTTGGTAACCAATTAGGCGTGGATTTTTAAAGAATATTTTCAGGGGTCTTGGTAAGCAATTAGGCGTGGATTTTTAAAGAATATTTTCAGGGGTCTTGGTAACCAATTAGGCGTGGATTTTTAAAGAATATTTTCAGGGGTCTTGGTAACCAATTAGGCGTGGATTTTTAAAGAATATTTTCAGGGGTCTTGGTAACCAATTAGGCGTGGATTTTTAAAGAATATTTTCAGGGGTCTTGGTAACCAATTAGGCGTGGATTTTTAAAGAATATTTTCAGGGGTCTTGGTAACCAATTAGGCGTGGATTTTTAATATTTTCAGGGGTCTTGGTATTAGGCGTGGATTTTTAAAGAATATTTTCAGGTGGTCTTGGTAACCAATTAGGCGTGGATTTTTAAAGAATATTTTCAGGGGTCTTGGTAACCAATTAGGCGTGGATTTTTAAAGAATATTTTCAGGGGTCTTGGTAACCAATTAGGCGTGGATTTTTAAAGAATATTTTCAGGGGTCTTGGTAACCAATTAGGCGTGGATTTTTAAAGAATATTTTCAGGGGTCTTGGTAACCAATTAGGCGTGGATTTTTAAAGAATATTTTCAGGGGTCTTGGTAACCAATTAGGCGTGGATTTTTAAAGAATATTTTCAGGGGTCTTGGTAACCAATTAGGCGTGGATTTTTAAAGAATATTTTCAGGGGTCTTGGTAACCAATTAGGCGTGGATTTTTAAAGAATATTTTCAGGGGTCTTGGTAACCAATTAGGCGTGGATTTTTAAAGAATATTTTCAGGGGTCTTGGTAACCAATTAGGCGTGGATTTTAATACACTCTTTGCAGGGTTTATAGTAGACTACGGCGACTAACATTTCGTCACCATTTTCCGATTTTCTGTGCTTTTTATTTACCCAACTAATTTTTGTTGTAATAGCTTACTAAAATAGCTGTCAGTCAACACCACCATCTGCCAGCTGATAAAATAGAGGCCATTGTCAGTTATTTGATCGACAGGGAAGGGCTGTAGTGGTGGTGTGTAAACATTTCCATGTCTAACACAATTAAGCTATTCATATCGATCGAAGGTGGTACCATGTGCATAGAAGTGTGAAGTGTGCGATGCTTATCGAGAGCCGGAAAAAATCGATTTTAAACGCCTCAATGAAATTATTCAATCTATGTACAGTTAGTTGATTGGTGATGATGGAATTTGATACCAGGCGGAAGCTGTAAGATATTGAAGAAAGTGTGCGACCGGTTGGGACCGGTTGTGGTAAAAAATCGAAAAATAAAAAGTATTTAAAAAAACGGGATATAAAAATTCTTTTTAATAAATCCACGCCTAATTAAGGTATATAAAAATTCTTTTTAATAAATCCACGCCTAATTAAGGTATATAAAAATTCTTTTTAATAAATCCACGCCTAATTAAGGGTATATAAAAATTCTTTTTAATAAATCCACGCCTAATTAAGGGTATATAAAAATTCTTTTTAATAAATCCACGCCTAATTAAGGGTATATAAAAATTCTTTTTAATAAATCCACGCCTAATTAAGGGTATATAAAAATTCTTTTTAATAAATCCACGCCTAATTAAGGGTATATAAAAATTCTTTTTAATAAACGCCTAATTAAGGGTATATAAAAATTCTTTTTAATAAATCCACGCCTAATTAAGGTATATAAAAATTCTTTTTAATAAATCCACGCCTAATTAAGGTATATAAAAATTCTTTTTAATAAATCCACGCCTAATTAAGGGTATATAAAAATTCTTTTTAATAAATCCACGCCTAATTAAGGGTATATAAAAATTCTTTTTAATAAATCCACGCCTAATTAAGATTATTTTTATTTAAAAAATATTTTTAAAATTTAATATTTTAAAAAATTATATTTTTTATTTATATTTGAAAATATATATCCATTTTCCCCCAATGTTGTTCTTGAGATCCCTATTTAAAAATTGCAGACTTTTTAATCCCAATTAATTATTTTGATTTAAAAAAAAATGTACATGTAAGAGCCAAATGGGAGTGTTATTTATAGATAGCAACAACAACAAAAATATAGTCAAATATAGTTTAAATAAAATGTATCGAATCACGTTCCTCTTATCTAAGTGCTAGGCAAAAAAAAAATTGTGATCATTAACCTTTGGAAAAATGAATGATGAGTAGACACTGCAATTCTATTCTGCCAGCCCGGGAAGAAGGGGGTAGGGTCCCCTTCGAAGAAATTTTATTTATAAGTAGACCCCAAACATTGTAAGAAAATATTCATTAACTCGAATTACCTCGAATAAGACAACATTAAATTCATAAAGTATTTTTTTTTAAATCGGAACAAAATGACCCATTCGGAACCACACAGCCTTTGTCAACGTCTAGAATATTTTTTCAATATTTTAACACAAATCTGTATTGGCTTTGTTACCATCTACATGAGCTGGCTGTGTCTGCGCACAGGATTAGCGGGTACAGCTCTGCATGCCTGGCTGGGAGTTATTGGGGTAAGGAGATCTACTGAATCCCACATAGTTAAGGCAGATAAGGAGCCTTAATTTTTCGAAATTATTTTTTATTTTCTAGTTCTCCTGTCTTATGGCTGAGGGTATTATGTGCCATTACAATCGCAATGTACTAACAGCGGATTACAGCCGAACAACGAAGAACTATCTACATGGCATCCTGCAAATCTTGGGTGGTGGATGTGGTATTGCCTCAGCTCTAATCAAATCAATACAACATGATTTTAAATTTGATAATCTGCATGGGAAGTTGGGTGAGTAGAAAAAATAAATTTGTGGATCTTAAAAGAAAAATCCTAAAATCCCTTTTCTTTCCCCTTCAGGTTTTGCTGCCTTTATTCTTTGCTTGATAAGTTTAATTTCCGGATTTGCTGCCTTTTTTGCCAAATTCTTGGGGAAATGTGTCAAACCCCTCTGGACTAAGTGCCTACATAATTTGCTGGGTATTGGTACCTTTGTGGTGGCATTGACTGCCCAATATTATGGCTATGAGACGGGATTTTTTAGACATAATATCCCTTCGCAGGATTTTACAATACTCATACAAGTCATAACCCTGATGATATTAATTCTCACATGTTGGGGTCCATTGAAATCGCTGCTACATAAAATTAAGTGTTTATATAATGGGAATTAGAAATAAGAAAAAAAAATAAAATTAAGAAAAAAATTAAATTTAAATAAATTGAGTTTTTAATTTTTTAAGAATTTGTTTAAATAAATATTTTTGTATTCTGTATTTGGTTTAGATTTATTAAAAATTATTTTTATATCCTCTAATTAATCAATTCTACACTCCAACAATTATTTTAATTCCCAATTTGAAGACTCTAGCTCTATCTGCTCACATAATATCAACTTTCACCAAATTTAGTACTTTTCGTACACATAAGTACGATTTTTTTTAAAGCTACCTCAATCCTGTACTCCAATAGTAGTCCTAATTCCTTCTTTCAGGATTCCATCTCTATATACTCAACTAAATGCAAATAGTACCAAATTTAGTACCACTTTTGCACTTTTTATACACATAAGTACAAAGGGTACCATATTTGGTACATTTTAGTACCTTTCGTGGGTGGCGTAGGGGATGATAGATACCAAGCAACGGCTCTGATTGGCTTTAACATGGCGAAGTCCATGCTTATCTTGGTCCCTCTTTCATCTCAATTGTGCACACTGACCTCCCCGCGGTGCCACCTGGGGAGCTATTTTCATCACCCGATGAAATAGTGAACTAATATTTGTCGAGAATTCACCCATAAGAACTAAAAAATGGGTTGAGGCGTCAGGTAGTTGCCCACTCTCGGAAAACCCAACCTACTATGAAAAAGCAAAGAAAAAGAAAACCAAACTCCCATAATGTTGACGACCCCCGTAAACGTATAAAGGACCACGATCTGCGAATCTGCACTTGAAATGTGCGCACGTTGTACAGAACAGGCGCATTGTTCGTTTGGCGGATGTACTCAAGAAGTGCAAAGCCGGTATTATTGCCTTACAGGAAATGCAATGGAAAGGGACTGGCAGGAAACCGAAGGCTTTGGTGCAGGCACATCCTCCTGTAGAGATGAAGAAGGAAACCTGGCGACAGATACTGACAGCGTGCTGAGGATCTGGAAGGAGTATTTTGAAAGACTTCTGTTATCAAATAGTAGCAGTGAAGTGGATATCCCAGAACCAATAATAGATGACGGTATAGAGTGTATACCACCTAGCCAAAAATGACGTCAGAATAGCAATCAATCGGCTGAAGAATAAAAAAACAGCCGGTGCCGATGGGCTACAATCCGAACTATTCAAGACTGGTGGTCAGATTCTGGTAAGGAGCATGCACCAGCTGATTAGTACAATTTGGCTAGAAGAATGCATGTCCAATGATTGGAACCTCAGCATCCTGTGTCCCGTGCCCAAAAAAGGAGACAAGGCGATATGGCCCAACTATAGAGGAATTAGTCTCCTTCCCATCGCATATAAAGTGCTATCCCGTGTGCTGTGTGAACGACTGAAGCCAATAGTCAATGACATTATTGGACCATACCAATGTGGCTTCAGACCTGGCAAATCCACCATTGACCAGATTTTCACTCTGCGCCAAATCACACATTCCACCCATTCGTCGACTATAAAGCCGCATTCGACAGCCCTATTCGTTCAGAGGTGTTTAAAGCCATGTCTGCGTTTGGCATTCCTGCAAAATTAATTCGGCTATGCAGAATAACTTTAACTGGCACATGATCAGTAGTTAAAATCGAAAAGGACCTCTCGGAGCCCTTTAATACCGAACGACGATTCAGACAAGGTGATAGTTTGTCGTGTGACCTTTTTTCACATCCTGCTGGGAAAGGTCATACAAGAGGGAAGTGAACAGAAATGACACTCTGTACACCAAACAACACATGTTACTCGCCTACGCCGAATACATCGACATAATTGAACAAATTGAGAAGGAGTCTGCCAAAGTGGGTCTAGCAGTAAACGGCCAAGCTGATGATATCAACGCGCAAGACGTCCAGTAGACTCGGACCCACTGTGGAACTGCGGCTTCGAGGTAGTCAAAGATTTTATACACCTTGGTACCGCCATAAATAAAACGAATGACATCAGTTTTGAAATTCGGAAAAGGATTGTGATGGTCAACCAACCGATGCTACTATGGTCTGAGCAAACAACTCAAAAGCAAGGCCACCTTCCGCCAGACCAAACTCACACTTTAGAAGACGGTGATACTACCTGTGCTATTATATGGATCTGAAGCATGGGTACTTGCGTAAGTAGATGAGACAGATCTTGGGGTGTTTGAAAGAAAAATTCTCCGAAAGATCTATGGGCCGATCTGCGTTGATGGTAAATACCATGAGATGTACCAGCTATTCTCGGACATCGACATTGTTAGACGTATTGAGCTGCAGCGATTACGTTTGCTAGGTTTTGTTGTGAGAATGGCCAGAAGGCATATAAAAGCGAACCAGCTGATGGTTCACGCAGAAGGGGAAGGCCGCGAATACGATGGCAAGATCAAGTCGAAGACAACATTGCCGAAAATGGTCTTTCCAATTGGAAAACTGCGCAAAAGACCGACGCGCCTGGAAATCTTTTCTAAGCTCGGCTTATGGAACAAAAGTTCTGTCACAAGCCTACTAAGTGAGTAAGTAAGTACTTTTCGTACACTTCTAGTTCGAATTTCCAAAAACCCAGTATTATCTCACGCCTACACACCAACAACAACCCACACTCAAAATTTCAATCTTCTAGCTTTAGTCGTTTCGTCTGGGCGATGATCTGTCAGTTACTCACTCACTAACACTAAGCTCTTTTATATATTAAGATTAAGCGTGGATTTTTTTAAAAATATTTTTTTATTAATTAATTAAACGTGGATGTTTTTAAATATTTTTTTCATTAATTATGTTTGGATTCTTTCAAATTATTTTTAAAATAATTTATTAAGAGTTGTTGTTTATTTTTATTTCTAAAATTAATGTTAATGTTTGTTTTTGTAATCTTCTTGAATTATTTATGGCATCTCACTTGTCTCTCACTTTATGATTTATTTTAATTTGAAACAAACAATGATTCGAATGCGGGAATTCAGTCGAACGTTTTACGAGGATCATGATCACAATTTAAAAATAATTCAAATAAAGATTTCTTAGAAGCCAAAGGGAATATTTTTGGTACTTTACAAAATTTCCACTCAGTTCCACTTTATGGGAATTACATATTAAAAAATAAGACCGAAGAATTTTTAAAATATTTTCCAGACAGAACCTCTCAACGAAGCTCCTCTTGCCACTTTTCATCGACTTAGTTGGGGAATTCCAAAAATTCCTTTTGATAAGAATACTGCAATATTTTCACTTCGCTTTTTTTACATTACCCGCCAGCTAATACACCCTCTAATACGAAAATCTATAACAGAACTGTCTCACAAAGCTACAAAAAAGGCATCCAGCATTCAGATTACAAATAAAATGCAACTGCAAAAATAAAAAAAAATCGCCGAACTGCAAAAAAAATCCCCAATGAAAACTAAGGGCCGCAAAAAAATTTTATTCACACTAAGGGGTAGAGCAGGGTGGTTGGGAGGTCCCCATACTGCGATTTGTTAACGAGAGAACATCTGCTTTGTTTGTCAGCGTTTTAAATGTTATGGCTGGTTTCAAACAACGACTTCGTATGTGAGCTAAGCTTCAGCTAAGAGCTAAGCGGCAAGAGTTGATTTTTTTTATTTTTAAAGTTTATAACAATTAAAAATACCAATCCCTTCCCCTCTCCTTCGTAACAAGGTCAATATTAACAAAAGAATACGAAATTATTTTTAATATTTAAAAATAAAAATGTAGAGGTCATAAATTATCCCTTTCTTGGACAGGAGACGCGTGGAAAATTAGCTAGACCTTTCAGATCTGAAAATAAGTGGATAAGAAGGGGGAGAAAATAAAAATTTGTAGGAGGGGTTAGAAAATATTTTTTAATTATTTTTTTTATATTTTTTCGATTTTTTGTAGGGTATCGAATTTTTCATTTTTGCAAATTAAATCTAAATCGAATACAAAATCATTTTCAATATCATTACCAATATTTTTTAGTTAACCACCAAAAACCTTTTTTGGTTGAAACTCAATTCTAGTTCGCCAAACAAAAATCGAAACCAAACGTAACTTGTGGTTCTGTCTGAGATCTATGTGATTACAAATGTTTGACCTTAACAATAGGAACAACAACAACAAAAAACACACTCAATTTTACTGAAAGTAAAATTCTGGAGGTTTTTTGTATTTCGAAATAATTATCGGAGATTGAGATGGAAGATAATAAATATGCATTTGGGGTACATTAAAATACGTTTGAATTTCTAAGCAGGGTTCAAATTGTGTGGAAAAAAAAATTTTTAGCACCTATACAAGGCGTTGATTTACAAAAAATATTTTTCAAGACGTGATTTTTTAAATAATTTTTCCCGGCGTGGATATTAAAAAAAAATCGAAGTATACAACGTCCCATATAAGGCGTGGATTTTTTAAATAATTTTTTCCGAGGTCTACAACGTCCCATATAAGGCGTGGATTTTTTAAATAATTTTTTCCGAGGTCTACAACGTCCCATATAAGGCGTGGATTTTTTAAATAATTTTTTCCGAGGTCTACAACGTCCCATATAAGGCGTGGATTTTTTAAATAATTTTTTCCGAAGTCTACAACGTCCCATATAAGGCGTGGATTTTTTAAATAATTTTTTCCGAGGTCTACAACGTCCCATATAAGGCGTGGATTTTTTAAATAATTTTTTCCGAGGTCTACAACGTCCCATATAAGGCGTGGATTTTTTAAATAATTTTTTCCGAGGTCTACAACGTCCCATATAAGGCGTGGATTTTTTAAATAATTTTTTCCGAGGTCTACAACGTCCCATATAAGGCGTGGATTTTTTAAATAATTTTTTCCGAGGTCTACAACGTCCCATATAAGGCGTGGATTTTTTAAATAATTTTTTCCGAGGTCTACAACGTCCCATATAAGGCGTGGATTTTTTAAATAATTTTTT